GGGAAGGAGACAGGACCCACGTTGAGAGAGAACAACCACATGGAAGGACAGACCACATGAAGGGAACAGGGGAACACGTGAAGAAGGACAGGAACACGGAAGGAGACATGACCACGTGAACAGGAGGACAGGGACACGGGGGGAAGGAGACAGGGACAACGTGGAAAGAAGACAGGATCACGGGAAGGGAGACAGGACACGTGAATGGAGACAGGACCACATGGAGACAGGGACACTAGAAAGAGACAGGACCACGTGAAGAAGACAGGACCACATGGAGACAGGACCACATGGAGACACGGACACATGGAAGAAGACAAGGACCACATTGAAGGAGACCAACGGACACATGAAGGAGACAGGACCACGTGAAGAAACAGGACCACATGGGGACCAAGGACCACATGGAGATCAGGGCCACGTGAAGGACAGGGGCACATGGAGGGACAGGACCACATGGAGAAGGAACCACATGGAAGAGACAGGCGACCACATGAAAAGGAGACAGGAACCACATGAAGGAGAACAGGCACGTGAAGAAGACAGGACCTACATTGGAGACAGGGACACATGGAAGACAGGACCACGGAAGGAAGAACAGGACCACATGGAGACAGGGACACCATGAGAGAGACAGGACCACAGAAGGGGACCAGGGACACATGAAGAGACAGACCAGCGTGAAGAAGGGACAGGACCATGAAGGAGACGGACCACATGAAGAAGATCAGGACACATGAAGGAGACAGGGACACATGAAGAGAACAGGACCACGTGTAAGAAGACAGACAACATGGGACAGGACCACATGGAGGACCAGACCCGTTGAGACAGGACAGGACCCACATGGACGACCAGGACCCATGGAGGACAGCGGACCAGTTGAAGAAGACAGGATCCACATGGAGACAGGACCACATGGAGACAGGACAACCACTATGAAGGAGACAGGACCGTTGGAAGAAGACAGGACACAACATGGAGACAGGACCCACATGATAGGACCAGGACCACATGAAAGAACACAGGGACCACATGGAAGGAACAGGAACCACCATTGAAGGGAGGACAGGGACCACGTTGAAGAAAAGACAGGGACCACATGGAGAACAGGCCATTGAGAAACCACGTTGAAAGTGACAGGAACCACATGGAAGACAGGACCACCATGAAGGAGACAGGAACCGCATGGAGACAGGGAACCATCATGAAGAAGACAGGACCCATCATGGGAGAAAGACACATGAAGAGACAGGAACCACATGAAGGGGACAGGACACATGGAGACAGGAAAATCCACATGGAGCAGGGACCACGTGAAGGAAGGACAGGCAACCCACAATGGAGACAGGAACCACACTGGAGACAGGACCACATGAATTAAGCGACGGACCACAATGGGAGGACAGGACCACAGAAGGGAACACCACATGAAGGAACGGGACCCGTGAAGAGACGACCACATGGAGACCAGTACACACGTGAAGAGACAAGAACCACATGAAGGAGACAGGACCACGTGAAAAGACAGGACCACATGAGACAGGACCACCAGGAGACAGGACCACCATTGAAGAGACTAGGGACCCACATGTGAAGACCACATGAAGGCGACAGGACCAACGTGAAGGAGACAGGACCACATGAGAAGGACAGGAACCACATGGAGATCAGGAACATGGAGACTCAGGGACACATGGAAGAGGGACAGACCACACGGAGGCAGGACACATTCGACAGGAGACAGGACCACGTGAAGGAGACAGGACCACGTGAAGGAGACAGGACCACGTGAAGGAGACACGCTGAGCAGCCGGGGTTAAATGACCCCGCCTGTTGTCTAAAAATGGGGCCAGAGGCAATATATTCTTCCAAAGGTGTTACCAGACGCTGCTTCTTAAATATCTTAACCCGGTTTTAAAGAATTCTGCCAAACACAAGAGTGGCCAACAAACATACAAAAAAATACTCAGCCATCTCTAATCATCAGGGAAACGAAGATCAAAGCTGCAATCAGGTCAGGAGTTTGAGACCAGCCTGAGCAAGAGCGAGACCCTGTCTCTACTAAAAAATAGAAATTAATTGGCCAACTAATATATATAGAAAAAATTAGCCGGGCATGGTGGCGCATGCCTGTAGTCCCAGGTACTCGGGGGGAGGCTGAGACAGGAGGATCGCTTGAGCCCAGGAGTTGGAGGTTGCTGTGAGCGAGGCTGACGCCACGGCACTCACTCTGGCCCGGGTGACAGAGTGAGACTCTGTCTCAAAAAAACAAAACAAAAAGCTACAATGAGATATCACTCATCTCCAGTGAGAATGGCCTTTGTCAACAAGTCCCCAAACAACAAATGCTGGCGTGGATGCGGAGAGAGAGGAACACTCCCACACTGCTGGTGGGACTGCAAACTGGTGCAACGTCTGTGGAAAGCAATATGGAGACACCTCAAAGCGATACGAGTGGATCCACCATTTGATCCAGCAATCCCACGACTGGGCGTCTACCCAAAAGTACAAAAGTCACTCTACAAAAAAGACACCTGCACTCGAATGTTTACAGCAGCACAATTCACAACTGCAAAGCTGTGGAAACAACCCAAGTGCCCATCCATGCACGAGTGGATTAATAAAACGCGGTCTGTGCACACCACGGAGCACTACTCAGCTCTGAGAAACAGCGGTGACCCAGCACCTCTTGTGTTTTCCTGGCTGGAGCTGGAGCCCATCCTACTAAGCGAAGCGTCCCAAGAATGGAAACACAAGCACCACGTGCGCTCACCAGCAAACTGGTGTTGACGGATCAGCACCTAAGTGGACACACAGGAGTGACATCTATCGGGTGTCGGGCAGGTGGGAGGGGAGGAGGGGACGGGTGTAGACAGACACGACGAGTGAGACGTGCACCGTCTGGGGGATGGGCACGCTTGAGGCTCTGACTCGAGGGGGGAGGGGGGCATGTGCAATATAGGTGACCTTGACATTCGTACCCCCATAATACGCTGAAAGAAGAAAGAAAGAAAACATTCTGTCCCACGATAACCTACCGAATTCTCTCGTTGTTGATGTCTTCCATGGTGAAGTTGGCAAGCTCTGAGAGCTCTTCCACCCCCGGCCCTGAGGTTCTCAGGAGCCTGCCGTGCTCGGGCGGAGAACTCAGCCGGATCCAGATCTCTGCGTCGGGGGAAGAATCATCCTAATCAGGCAAACAGGAGGCAGGACGTGAGTGCACATTTGCAGGAATAAATCCTTCCAGAAATCAAAGAGCCATGGGCGCCATTTTCTCTGCTAATTGGAAAAATCTCTCTCTCTCTCTTTTTCAGAAAGCAATACCGTTATGAGCCACGTGAAAAATCCCGTATTTTATACCTCCTAAAATGCCTCTTCGATAATAATATCTTTTTCTAAGAGTAGCTCAAGATAGGAAGTCGGGGAGATGCGCTTTAGGTGTGGGGCATAAAACAAAGAGACGACCTATTGTTCTTGTACGAGCCGCACACGGTATTATTTTTATCACAAGCCTCTAGTGAGGAATAAAACACGG